GAACGGTCGCGCGACATGATCTCATTTCATGAATCATTACGAAAAGTGCTCAACAAGAATGTCATAACTTTTTAATGACTGTTGCACTAGAAACCTATATCACTAGCATTTTCTCGAATAATATTGCCGATGCTGCATGAAAAGCAAAAAATGGAATGATAGATGCAGAGATATCTACAACAGGCGCTGTCTGCGTAATGAGAAGAGAGAAAAAAAAGCAATACGATAGATAACAACAAGTTATGCTTGTGTTTCTGTCACCGTATTTGCGATACAGAAACAAGCACTCGCGATTATGACTTTAGGGATACATAACAGTAGCCGAACGGTCGCGCGACATGATCTCATTTCATGAATCATTACGAAAAGTGCTCAACAAGAATGTCATAACTTTTTAATGACTGTTGCACTAGAAACCTATATCACTAGCATTTTCTCGAATAATATTGCCGATGCTGCATGAAAAGCAAAAAATGGGAGAATCTGATAAGAGAAGCGAATAAATATGAAATATTTATCAAAATAGATTACTCATTTTTAAAGACATATGAAATTTTATTTTCTAAGAATTATTATTATTAATTATGACTTTAGAACCATCTTAATGACTCAACGCGATTATCAATATTGCTATTATATATGTATAATTCTGATTCTTTTATATTTAAAACTGCTAAAAAATAGGATGGATAAAATAAAATATATTTTAGTAGACTTATTATATATAAAATTAAAAATTAATCGTTTAAATATCTAGAATCTACAAGAAAGCTAAAATGTTGAATTTTATATAAATATAAGTAAAAATCATTCTGAGAAAGCAATAAAAAATCTATAGACTTTAAATTTTTAATGATGTACAAAGATTATTATAAATATATTTTAATGCAAATCTCTCTCGTGCATAACGTATATTTGGCGGAAAGGAAAATATGTAAAAAGTATAATGAATATTTTTTGTTGCGGCTGAATAGCATGCCAAACGTTAGAAATATTGTTTGTGGAAATAAATTTTTATTTCACCCAGCATAAAATATGTGTAATGGGATCCGTTTACGGACGAAAGAATCGAGATACGTGCACGCACGCAGGTGTACGCGTAAACGTAAATGCTCAATGTCTTTTGCCATGAAGTTTCTTTTCTATACGCGGTTCTCTCATCGTCCAAACATGTCCTGATGTGAGTGTCGACCCCGTGGTTACCGGGAAACCATCGAGATACCGTGAACGTCGCTAGAAAGCTATCTATGGTGTGGCCGGCTGAGCGCGCTTTTTAGGAATGGAAAGAATTGACGGCGAACCCAGATTGGGAAAGTTGAGACGTGTCTTTAAAAGCGAAGAACGTAAAGCCCGCACTTGCTGCATTGATGTGTTTCGCTATTGAAGCACGCTAAGCTACGTGGGCCGTTTCTAAGAATAACTATTACCATCGAATACGAAAGGCAAGTTGTCGCGAATGGCGTTTCATTTAAATCTTGTAAACCCACAATGTAAAAAAAAAAAAAAAAAAAAAAAAAAAAAACTACCCAAGTTGTTAAAAAAGATTTCACTTAAAATTACCTGAGGTATTTTTTTCGCTACTACCAAGATAAATAACGTGACTGCTTTGACTTGTAAATGACTACGCAAAATGTTAATATCAACACTGTAAATCAACTTTGTGGTGTGTAGTAAGCCGTCGATTAAAAGATACAGGATACAAATTAAAGTAGGCCGAGAGAGAAATTTAATATCATGGCTGACTATAATAATAGCAATAATACTATTCAATGATACCGTTATAGATAACGTGTGTTTCTTCTTGATTCATTCCCTTTCGAAGTCAACTAAATTATGTTATTGTAATTATGATCGGTCCGTAATGAAATATTAGGCAATACTCATATCGCTAGCAGAAAGGGTACTTAAATTGTTGCTCGTTCTGAGCTAGTTCATGGCAAATTTCACGTCGCATAGATCTCGCGGATTAATTTTCAACATGTAAAATAATATTAGACGGTCGCGGCACGGAGAGCGTGCACGAGTAATTTTGCGCAACTTTTCTGCGGCCGGCATTCGCGCAACCACCGCCGTTAATAAGGTGTTAGTCTGGCTGGCACATGATCGAGAAACACGGGGCATAGGATAGGACGTTGCAACAAAGCAACGGTGACGGGTACAGACGAGCCATATCCGGGACGTCGACCAATAAAATTAATCGCTTTTGCCACATCGACTGAATAATTTATTCTCGCTGCTGTGCTTAGGAGTTGACCGACCATCTTTCGCGATAATGTGTGAATCACAGTTTGATTGATAGATTGTTTATAAAAATAGACATTTACTCAAACCCGAAGCAATAAAACGCGAATTTAGCAATATTTCTTCGGAAAAGTCTCTTTCAAACTACTTTTTGAATATTAAAATCGTGAACATGCATCTTATTAATATATAATATAAATCGGCTGCAATATTTATGATTTAGAAATATATATTTAAAAACTTATATATTATAT